GTCAAAATTCAAGAAGGGTCATCTACAATTGCATGAATTGTACTTTGCTACAGCACGGTCATACACTCTGGATGAATTTAATGAAAGGATGTCGAAGATTGAAGAGGTAGACCCGCATGTGAAATCTTACCTATATGATTTTGGTTATCATAGATGGTCAAGAGTACATGCAACAGTGAATAGAACGTGGACAATGACATCAAATATTGCAGAGTCGTTGAACGCATTAACAAAAGATGCAAGAGAGCTGCTGATATTTGACCTTTTAGAGTATATGCGGACACTGCTAGAACGTTGGACCAATGAGAAGTTATTGAAGGCGAAGGGTACTTTCACATTTTTTGGGGCCAAATTCAACAAAGAATTAGATGACAACAGAACATTATCTCAGAAGCTTAGGGTAATATCTGTTTATTTGGTGCAGAAAAAATGAATTACTTAATATGCAGTGTTTCCAGATTGTATATAAATTGTAGTCAAATTATAGATTGTATATAAGGTGTAGAATATTTGTAGATGATTTGTATATAAGTTGTAGATAATAATTTTTTATGATTAAGATAATATTTTTTCTGTTTGTTCTGCAATTGTAGGTGAGGGCTTCAACAGATCATATACATATTGTGTTAGATGGTGTGAAGCGGTACATTGTGTGTCTAGAAAACAAGAAATGTAGTTGTGGCCAATTCCAACTTGAAGAACTTCATGTGCGCATGCTTTGGCAGCATTAAGGCACAGGAATGAAACATATGAAAACTATTGCTCTCCGTATTACACAAGGGAGAGCCTTCTGCGTACGTATAAAATGTCAGTAAATCCTCTTCCTGATAAAAACAAATGGAATGTGCCACAACATATTTTGGATGAGGTAGTAAAACCACCGACGGGAGATAAAAGACATCCAGGGAGACCTCAAAAGGAAAGATATAAAACCTATGATGAAATAAAGTCAAAGAAGTACAAGGTGTTGTCACACCTCCTTTTTCCGCCCCGCGAGGGGCGTAGGAGTTTTTTCCATGTTAAAGGACAATCGAAACGGGATTTGTTTATTTATTTTAGAGTCGTCACTTGGGAGATTTAGGGTGTCCCGAGTCACCAATTTTAATCGCGAATCGAGGAAAAGAATGACTGCATTGCGTACCAGAAATCCGGATAAGGAATTCTGTTAACCCGGGAGAAGGTGTTAGGCATTCCCGAGTTTCGTGGTTCTAGCACGGTCGCTCAACTGTCATATTTGGCTTGATTATCTGATTTAATACATGTTGAACCTATGTGCAAAATTTAACTTTTTACCGCTTTTATCATTTACTGTCATTTTTATCAAGAATTGCAACATCGTGGAAAACACATCTCGAACCACGTCACAATCAATGTACCCGCGGTTAGAGCTACATTTCAACTCTGTTGAGATTGGGATTTGAGTCACATAAATGTGAACCCGAGTTTAGGAAGATAACATTATTAAATACGCGCCTAAAGTGACTAGCGTATCATTTACTTTGGGGAAGGCAGTGAAATTCACTAAACAGTCCATCCCAAATTCTAAGTATTTATTATGACCCATTATTGAGGGCCTCGCAATTTGTATTTTTATTTGGGCGAGGCTCGTCTCATTATTATTATCATTTTCCTTTTTTTTTTCTTTTTTTTAAAAAGGATAATCTAAAGCAGCTATATGTATATTTTTCGTCCGTCTCTAAATGGAAGAAGAAAAAGTCCTACTTTATTTACATGCTTGACAAGACCATCATTTATTTCTCGGATTCAAACAAACGCAGCTAGAAAATTGCAATCAAACTTTGTGCGAAAGGAAGTTGTTTCATGCCTCATTCTATAAGTCGATACTACCGAAGCTGAAATTATAACCAAACACGGAATTGACAGGCAATACGCATTCAAAAGGGCCGAAGTATCTTATAATTAATTTTTGAACCCACATTGTTAGACGAAATGAACCGTTGGGAC